GCCTAGGCTTTACGGTTCAAGGTTCAATTTGGGAGCTGAGGGCTTTCCCGGATTTAGAGCTTTTTAGGGTTTAGGGGTTTAGGGGTATAGGGTTTAGGTGCGTAGGACCTCTCTGCGTTATTTGAGTAACTGCTTCTCCTAAGATGAGCAAGTACAGGGAAAGCTCTGTGGCCAGTGTTTGTTTGCTCTCTGGGGAACTGGAATTGTTTTAATTCTTTTATTTTTTTAAAATTTTAAAAGTTTTCGAAATATTGGCCTCTGGGGATCTGGATTTCTTTTTAAATTTTTAAAATTTTTAAAATTCTTGAAATTTTTAAAAGTTTTGAAATTTTGGCCTCTGGGGATCTGGAATTCTTTTTAAATTTGTAAAATTTTTGAAAGTTTTAAAAAATTTAAAATGTTGGCCTCTGGGAATCTGGAATTCTTTTCAAATTCTTAATTTTTTTAAAAAAATTTTCAACTTTTTTGGCCTCTGGGGATCTGGAGTTCTTTTTAAATTTTTGAAATTTTTTAAATCTATAAAATTTTCAATAATTTTAAAACTTTTAAAAATTTTAAAAGAATTCCAGAGCCCCAGAGGCCAAAATTTTAAAAAATTCAGAAATTTCAAAAATTTAAAAAGAAATCTAGATCACCAGAGGCCAAAATTTTAAGAATTTAAAAATTCAAAAAGAAATCCAGATCCCCAGAGGCCGAAATTTTAAAAAAATTGAAAAGTTAAAAAGAAATCCAGATCCCCAGAGGCCAAAATTTCAATAAATTTAAAAATTTACAAAATTTTAAAAGAAATCCAGATCCCCAGAGGCCAATATTTCAATAATTTTAACAATTTGAAAAATTTTCAATATTTTAAAAATTTAAGAATTCCAGATCCCCAGAGGCCAATATTTCAACAATTCTAAAAATTTTCAAAGTTTAAAAATTATAAGAAATTTAAGAAAATTCAACAATTTTCAAGATTTTAAAAATTCTTAAATTTTTTTATAAATTTCAAATATTTTAAAATTCCAAAAGTTTCCAAGGATTCCAGATCCCCATTTCCGCCTTGAACAAATGCTTCCATGGGGTTGGTGATCCGTCTCGGTGGTTTGGTTTCTCCTTATTTTCCCTGTGATTTGCTTTCCTCTTCGCTGCCTCGTTTCCCCTAGTTTTCCCCTCGTTTCCCCTAGATGTTCCCTTCCCTTAGTATGCTGCTGTCAGAATTTCCCTTAGGTTTTCCCCTAAACTGCGTCGCATTTCCCCTAGCTCTTCCCCTAAACTGCGCTCTGGCTGCACGCGCTTTTCCCCTTACGACGTTCCCCATTTCCCCGCGTTTTCCCCTTGTTTTCCCTTTTAGCTGGTGTAATGTAACTATGCTTTTGAAAACTTACAAAGATACCTCGTAGTCTTGCGTGAACTCGGAAAGCCTATACCTCAAACCTGATTCACTCTTATGCGTGGCTTAGGCCCGGCTGGGATCAGGCTCTGGTGTTGAGAAGCTGATCCTCCGCACAGGTCATGCTGCATGTCAGAACCAATCATCCCTTGTACCTGTTATATAATCAGGTAGAGACGCGCGCAATGCTCACTAGACTTTTTCTCTGATTTGCAAGTCCTTCCCTTAAGCCCTGCAGGCATCGTGTGCTTTAATCCGTAAGCCGTGATTCTCCTTATGTAGTGCCCCAAGAGTGCCAAGCTCCAACTCCAAACCGGAAACCCTCTTCCCACAAGGCCGCATCCAAAACCCCAAGAGTTACATCCTTCCAGGGTTTAGGATTTTACGCGAGTAGGGTTTAGGCTCTAGGGTTTAGGGTTTGGGGTTGGGGCTTTACTTGGAAAGGACAAGGGTGTTATAACTTACTCAATGAGTACTTCGCTTTGGGTGTACAAGCGCTTAAACAGAAGCCGTAAGCTAATCAAACTCGGATAGTTTTGTTAAGCTAAGAATTACTTCGATGCTCAGGTGCAGCCCTCAGCAACGACTGCACGGGGCGCCAGAAGCTGTTCTCGGGGTTTCAGGGTTTGGTGTTGCAGTTGTTGGGCTTTGATTGTGAGTATTCAAGCCTTCCGCTTTAGAAACAAACCCCGAATCCTTGCAATCCGAAGCCGAAATGTTTTCATATGTCAGATTCTCGGCTCTTGGTACGTGTCTCCCCGCAACCTCGCCAAAATGGGCGCCTCTAGCAAGCTGGTGGCTGCGAAACTTGAGCTGAAGTTGTGCGAGCTCGAGGCTCGGGGTAAAACATCCCGAACGTCGTAGAACCGTCGTGTCGTTTGCCACTGTTCGAAAGGGCATAGGGTGCTATGACACTGGAACACCCCTTAAAGTCCGGACGCCTATCGATCTGTATCCGCATCCCAGAAAGCTTCCATGCAACAACAACCAGCCGAGCGTCCCAAATAGAGTTTAACACTTCGGAAGTATATAGTTCGGCACGACCAGGTAGACAAGGCGTGTGCAAAGCGAGACGCAGCGAAGGCAAAGGTAACGAAGTACCAGCTCAAGGTTGACGCGAAGCCCGCGAAGTCTGGCAAGAAGACCAAGAAAGCCCCCCCTGTACAGAAGTTGAAGCGCGTTCCCTTAGAACGTGGTAAGTGCCGGGCTTGCCAGCAGTATGCCCGTATGAAAGCCGGTCTGATCACCAAAGTTTCGGCCGAGCACAGCTGTGCCAAAAGGCGCAAGATTATGCAGGAGGCATCGGATTCTGAAAGTGACTAACTAACGTCCAGCGTCTCGTTAATTGAAAGGTGAGGGGCATCTGCTAGCCCTTTCGAAGCAGGTGTTTTCCACTCGGAACACGACCTCGTACATTTTCCACTCGGCGCATTTTTCTTCGTAGTAAGCAAGTGTATTTTCTATGTAGCTTCTTCACCTTTTGCAACTAGATTCAGACGATGAGTGCGTGCTCAGGCTGTCCAGTCTTTGGCAAAAGTGGGTCGTTCCGGACACCGTGGATCTGGACGTTGAGAACTGCTGCTTCGTGCTCATGCTACAGATAATGGACCGCTTATCTCCAGCACACCCAAGTTGGAAGAGCGTTCGTTGCACCCTCCAGCAGTGTGCGCAGGAACGGAGTGCCATCATTGCAGAGCAGCTAAAGATGCATCAGAAGCACGGGAAGAGTCTCATGATCAAGGTATTCAATGGCGGGAGTCCGCCGTCCTCGTAAGTCGGGAACGAATTCCTCTTCAAATTGCACAAGGCTTCGCTATTTTGTCGATGGACAGCCGTGACCTTATTGCCGGACGTGTATGAAAAATGCATGCAAGATCAGCCAACAGAGCATCCTGATGCGTCGTGTCTGTTCTATTTGTGGAGTGCCGTGGAAGATATTGTTCTGGATGCTTGGACCAATTTTGTCCTCCGGCAAAAGCCGAAGCACATCAGCCTTCACTTTGATGGTATCAGGGTGTCAAGAGCTGTCGTGGGGGAGGATGTAGAAGGCTTCGGCAGAACCTGCGTTGCTCATATTCAAGAGACAACTGGGTACAAAGTCGCGATCAGAGCGAAGAGCAACCCCGACCTCTTGCAAGAATTGCGTGTGTTAAGCAAAAGCCGAATGTTGAGAAGCCTCCTGCCCGCTGCTGTCCAGCAAGATGGCAATTGCATACCAGCCGCGCTGCATAATCTTGGCTTCAAAGCAGAGGTCCATGCTTTTCTCGAGCACAAGGAAAGTGAAGAGAGTCTTTACTTCAGTCGACGAAGACACCGTCCTTATGCTCAGGTACAGAAGGGGTACTGGAGTTCACATGACCCCTGTCATTCTGCCACTGGACACGAGCTCTGCAGAGACCGACGGCAAGTATGTTGTGCACTGCTCAAAACAAGGTCGTCCTCATGCGATCGCCCTCGATGCCGACTCTAACACAGAGTGGGTTGTGACAGATGGTAACGCCGAATTCATTCTGGACAGGACATCTTTTCTATAGGCTTTGTCCGTGGCGTGCGACAAGCGACACATCATTCTTTTCAAAGTTACAGCCTCGCTGCCACCGATGGATGAGCATCCTAAAGCTACGCTCAATGAAGAGACTCTTGGACCTTCCAGCCGCTGCCGGTGAAGATTTCATTGTGGAGCTGGACATGTTCCCTGAAGACGCTGGAGATCAACGCCAGCAGGATGAGCAAGCTAACCAGGATGACGCTGAAAGTCAAGAACAGGAGGAGGATGAGAGTGTTACGACCGTGGGCGATATACTTCTGCAGAATCTGAAGAAAGAAGTAGAACACCGTTTGAAGCTGAAGAAAGAAGTAGAACACCTTTTGAAGCAACAGACACAACTTCGGCAAGATGCAGATGGTCGTGTTCGGTGTCCCTTCTGTCCGTTTCGCAGCTGGTCATGGCACAATCGTGCCAGGGTCAAGCAACATGTTCGTGACCATCATTCTGCCAGGAAGCAATATTCTGCTAGTGGCACGAAGCAGCTGAAGGTAGTCATTGCTCTTCATGATCAAGACATGTTGCAGGGCAGGACGACTACCTGTTCGTATTTGTGTCGAAGCGCAGAAATTCTACGCAGTACCATAATTAGTTCCCTCTCTTTCGCAGAATAACAACGATATCGACCGCTACATCCGGCTGGTTTACACTGGCAATGGTCCAGAGTATTGGAATCTTAAAAGAACTGTGGATGCGCCAATACGCCGGGCCAGAAATTTGTACTACGACAGGTCTTTTGCCGAAGCGATGTATCGGTACATGCTAGTGAACAATGCCAAGGCAGATGCTGGGGGAGGGTTCGTCTATGCTCAGCAGTTGAAGTCGCCCAGACTAGCACCCTGCTAGAGAAGTAGGATTCCTGTGCATTGCAAACGTGTCTCGGAGGTTTACGGTCTTGCGAATGCCTTCCACGTCTCCGTCGCGAACGAATTATCGAGTCTTTTTCCTAGCCATGCCAAGGATTGGTGACCCATTATCGAAGACGTGTTCAATGCGCCGCAGATCAGGGACTTGCGGCAACATCTGCTTCAAGAATGCATTGCGAGCGAGGAGTTCCAATGCATCAGTGTTGACGCGACAATGCGCTGCTGCCTTCCCATCATGGGGCAGGCGCGCATCAAAAGCTCTGCAGAGGAGCGTGCAGAGGCTGCCTTCACAGAGAATATGTCACTGCGTAGGGTCGCTCAGATGAATTGGCTATCTGCTTGGCTATCTTAGAGTCATGCACATGATGACTTGAGTGCTGCACACGCTGTCGTAGCCGTCTGCTGAGGTTTTCATGGTTCGCGGTCGAACAAGTGCAGTGCTGTTGATGAAGGCCGCTAGATCGGAGGATGCCGAAACAGCATGTCGGCTGCTAGCCGAAGAGTTTCCAGCATCTGCGCTGCAGCAAATTTCTTTCGTTGCGGCGGACAATCCTTCGCGCAAGCTCTATTCCGAACTGAAGACTATTTGCCCAAACCTGCAGGGCATGTCGCTTGACACGGTGCACCTCGCTATGGCCTGGGAGTACTCTACCACACGCAGGCGAAGCAAGGGCTCCGCAGCTCTTCGCAGAATACTGAGCAAGTTTGCAGCAGTGGACACCAAGTGCAGTGCAAGATCGCTGGGGAGATGCTATGATGGCGAGTATTGTCGGCCGCTAAATGCTGAAGAGGAACGCCTCCGACGACAGCTGGATGATAGGACCATGAAGCAGGGTGTAGCGCAGCGAATCCTGGACGAAATCAGGCTTGATGAGCCTTTTTATACTCGTGTCGAATGGATTCGGGCTATAGCAGCCCTCACGAATGTATACAAGGGTGAAGTGCACAAGGTCTCTGTCTCTCCAGGACCAAATCGCCGCGTCTGGCAGTTGTTGCATTCCGCGGCTGCAGAGAGATCCGAGTGGTATATGAATAACATACGAATTCGTCATGCTCTCGCTTCTCATCGGCTGCACTTGCTACCCAGTGGAACGACATCAAACGAAGCGCTTCACTATGAAATTAATCGATGCTTCAAAGAAATCCAGAAGCTGCACCAAGCGAGCTTACAGCAAAAGCTCGAGATATTGCAGTTGGGCAAGCTCTTGTCACATAACAGAGCCTGTTACCATCACACAACGAAACAAGTACAACACGGTGAAGTGCTTGCGCGGGCAACTCGACAGACGATATGGTCTTCGAACGACTGGAGTACGTGGTGTGCAGAGTTGCTCGATGGTCCAGGTCCGAAGCTGAAGGCTGAGCTTCCGAAGGAAGATGCAAGGGCCTGGCAAAGGGCATGCAGTGCGTGGCAGTGTGAAAAGGAAGCCGTCAGCTTCCTATCGTCAAAGCAAAAAGGATACGAGGCGTACGGCCTTCACACTGTGTAGGCAGGATTCCTTAGTTCGTGGTGGCAAAAAGAATCGCTGCGGCTAGACACAGCAGGATGCTGGTCAGGCTCGCGGGCATGCTGTCGAAGTAACTATGGCATTCTCATTTCTCAGAGCTTAAACTCAGCCTCCGTTGAGATTACTTGGCACTGGTTTAGAGACAAGCGACTCCGACAAGCTTTGCCATATGTTGCTTCAAGAAAGCCAGAGGGACATGGAAAAAAGTGCGGCGATGCCAGATGCTGCGGAGTGAGTCCACTACCATGGATGCACTCTGTGCTGCTGCCCTCGCTGCTGTTGACAGGTCATCCTGACGAGGAGCCTATGACCGTGACGACATCGTGCACCAGCTCGTGCCCTACAGTGCTTTCAGTAGGCTGGATGGGGAGCAGATAAGCAGGCTCGGATAACTCGCCAGGCGTCGAGGCGCATGCCTGCTGAAGGAACCAGAACGAACCTTCCGTAGGATGAGATACATTGAAATTTCCTACAACCTCCCAAACTGTAGACATACGTGCATGCACGGTTTCCGTGTATATGGTCTGGCGGCAGACATGTGGTTGTTTCGAAGTGCTTCGTGGCTCGTGACGGTTTTCTAGCATGCTGACTGTACCGGCCATGCTTTGAGATAGAAGCAAGGCAGATTGTTTGTGAAGATAGAGCTCGTCCTTATTTAGATGAAGCAGCGATTGCCCATGCCAGGTGATTCTGCGACTGAGGGCACTGACGTTTGTTGTTGGGACATTTTGGGTCGACATTATTGCCCGTGTCCTCGTTTACGGAATGTTTACAGCTCCAAGCCCACGGCCCTGTGGAGTTCGCTGCAGGTCCCAGAGAGATACATGCACTGTTGCCGCATGTCATAACTTTCAGGCACCGCGTCCGAATATCACAATGCTGAAGGGGTGTCTTCGTTGAGCATAGTGATTCCAACAGCAAGCACCTGCGACCTGTTGCTGTTCGAAAAGATGCTGACGAAGTCGAGGGTGGTATCGTGCAGGAAGTGAAACTGTTAGACACAGGGCGTGCTCGTGCACACACGTTCAACGCCCCGACTTGCATTGGGCTTGTTGCTGGCGCACCCAGTCTGTTTGAACGATTTGATGTTGCGCTTCCGTCGAGCCGTTGATGGCTGCATGACGACGACCGTAGACATTCAGTTGATCAGGGGCTTACTGCTTGCTCTATAAGGTTTTGACTCCGTGGCACGTCATGTTGTGGCCCGGACAACTTTAGATTGCGACAGGGCGCTCATTTCAAGTTTACATGAAGCCAAACACCATGCCAATACGTGTTGCAGCGGTATGTGACTGCCGAAGCCTTACCCACACCCCACACAGTCAACCAGAGGCTAACTCAAACTATACATAAAGGTCCAGGTTTAGGGGTTTAGGGTTTAGGGTTTAGGGGGAGCTTCAAGTTTAAGGAGTCTTTGTGGTTGAAGGCTTTTGGGGTTTAGGGCTTGGGACTCTTTGCAGTTCCTTCGGGGTGTACGTAGGCTTGAGGAGTCTGTTTGGCGTTTAGGGTGTAGGGTTTAGGGTTTTAGGGTGTAGGGTTTAGGGTGTAGGGAGACTTGTGCAGGTAAGCTTGGCATGCAGCAAGTGTCATGAAGGTGTCGCTTCATACGGTGGGCTGGCAGCTGGCACGCAGATTCTGAGCTTCAACGGAAAGCCGGCCAAAGCTGGGATTTTTGGATGAGGGTTTAGGGTTTAGGGCTTTAGCGTTAGGGTTTAGGGTTTAGGGTGTAGGGTTTAGGGTTTAGGGTCTAGTGTACCTAAAGCACATCAGGCCAGAGGAGCATCACCCGCATCCCGATCCTCAAGCTGCTCCCGGCCGTGCCTCCGGCCTTCCGCAGAGCCCGGCAGGGCCAAGTCCGAAACCCCTAAACCCCCAAACCCCTCTCCCCTAAACCCCAAACCTTAAAACCCCTAAACCCCTAGAGCCTAAACCCATAGAGCCTAAATCCCTAAACCCCTAAACCCTAAACCCCAAACCCCTAAACCCCTAAACCGTGGCTTCCGTAAGCAGCGAAGCGAAAGGCCAGGCGAGAGCCCGAGACGAGGAGGCCAACGCTGCGGCCGACAAAGAAGAAGAGGGCCAAGCCCCCTAGGGTTTGTGGGTTTAGGGATTTAGGTGTTTAGGGGT